GTTGAGAAATAAGGAACCTGAGGAGGAGGAAGAAGCAAAGAGGTAATCACAGGACCAGGTTCACACACACACACACACACACACACACACACACACACACACACAGAGTCCAGATAATCTTCAACTGTCCACTAAACACCTTCTGTCCTCCTCAAGGTCAAAGGCCCCTGAATCACCTGTAGTCAGAGGGATCTAACCCTCACATGCAGTGGGAGTTGTAGGATAAGAATACATGTAACGCTATTGATCAATACTTTTCAGTCCACTGAAACTTGAGAAGAAGGGCGTACTAAAGATATGTGTCACAGAATATTCAGTGGAGATCTGTTGACAGAGAGAACTCACTGAAATTAGGGAAGGACTACTAGAAGAAAAGAGAAAACAAGCAACTTGCTTCTCATTACTACTGTGAATCAGAATAGTGGTCCATGACAGATTATCATGTAATCCCAGAACTGGCAGGGCCTTGAGGGGAAAATGAATCCAAATTCTTCATTTTACAGACTAGGGAAAAATAAAAAAAAAACATAGATTGGGAATATGAGGTCACATTGCCAGAATATAGCAGAGTTACCAAGTTCAACACAGGCCCTCTGACTCCCACTGTAACTCACTCCTTCAGGAAAGGTGGAGGTCATCACTTGGGTCAGGGGAGGAGGAAAGCAATAAGTGATGATTTGCAAGTGCTAGTGATGGGGTGCTAATGATGGACCCCCAGAAGAAAAAGACCATGTCTTTGGGACTTGGATCCCAAAGCCCCAGAACCCAGATCACTGGTGTTCCCTTGAAGCACCTGAACCATCCCTGGCAACAATCCTTTTAACTGCCCTTTCACTGGGGCTCTCCTACCACTTAACTCCTTCCATTGTCTGCACCTGGCCCCATCCCAGGTTATCTGCCACTCCTTAATCCCATCCAGATCTTCCCACCTTCTTTCTGTATAAAATATCAATCTTACCCTCATCAATTGCACAGACTCACTAGAAGTCTGTCTCACTTCTATTGGCATCACAAAACTCTCTACTTGGATTGAAAAAAGGTTTGAGTGGTTGAATTCTTTCAAGCAGGCCTGCACCCTATCTCCTTGTATTTTGGGCTTGCCAGAACCCCTAGACTGCAACATTAGGACAGGAACACTGTCCAGCTTAAAGTTGTTTACACAAACACCCAGGGCCATAGCCTTCCTCTCCAAGTGACCTAGGTTGGGACGAGTCAATGGATCAGCAAGCATTGTTCAGCACCTTCTATGTGCCAGCCACTGTGCTAGGCACTGGGGATACAAAGCCCCTGCCTTCAGGGAGCTTACATTCTATAAGAGGAAACAATGTGTGCATATACAAGTATATATATGGCACATAAAAGGCAGATACAAGATAACCCAGGATGGGAAGGCATTGGAAAGAAACCAGGAGAATAAGAAAAGTATACCAAAAAGTTATAATTTAAGGTAGGATACGATGGGGACAAAAGAGAAATCTAGACATAATGCTCAAAGAGAATTCATGATCTTTCCCTTTGAATTGACTCCTCTTCCTAACTTCCTAGTTACTGTTCAGGGCACCAGTATCTTTCTTATAACTAAAGTTTGCAACCTAGAAATTATGTGTGACTCTTCTATCTCCCTCCTAACTTACATCCAAACATTTGACAAATTTTGTAAGTTCTGGGCCCCTGCCATTCAGACTTCTTATGGTGTATTAGCTCAGGCATTAGCCCATTTCTCTCTGCTCAAACCATCACCACCATAGTTTAGGGTTACCTTGTGTATTCATCTTCGTTACTTAATCCCAGGGGTTACCTTGTATTTTCATCACTTCTCACTTGCAGTGGTTTCTTAATTAGCCTCTGAACCTTCCCTTCCCCCACATTCCAACCCATTGTCCATACAGCTATCAGAATGCTATTCCCACTTAGAAAATTCTATTCATGCTAAATTGCCTCTCAGATAAAATAGAAATTCTTCTGTTCGGTGTTTAAAGCCCTTCACCCTCTGGCTTCAATCTGTCTTTCCAGGCTTATTACACTTACTCCCTTTCATCCAAACTGGTTTACTTGTTATTTTTCACCCACCATATTCTATATCCTGCCTCTGTGCTTTTGTATATGGCAGTCCCTGATACCTGGAAGTTACCACCTATTTACCTCTGCCTCTTAGCATCCCTAGCTTCCTTCAAAGCTGAATTTGAGGTAATTTCCTATAAAACTTTTCTGGACTTCAATAGCTATTGCCTAATCCCCTACCCTTCCCCCACTCACCTGCAACCTCAGGAAATTACCTTATATTTACTTTTTTTTAAAATCAAGTTTTCTTGTTTGATGCTGATAAATCTTCATGACTCTCCAAGTTCAGCCCAACTCTCGTGTCAAGACTTGGCTTTATGATAAGATTTCTACTGTGTAAACTCACTATTTTTAACCTTTTGGTTTTCCTCATTTCCTAGCCCCACAAAAAATACCCTGATAATATCTCACATTTAATCTGGCAGAACTAAGGAGAAAAGGAAATTTTTTACACTCTAGATGAGCTAGAAAGAATTATAGAGTTTCCTTAAAAAGGCAGACCAGGATGGTGAAAAGCACAGGGTCTGTAGGTAGAGGCCTGGAAAGGTAGCCTTGTGTAGGAAACATCGAACTGAGACAATCAGAAAGACATGGGTTCAAATCCTGCCTTAGAAAGAACTATCCATGTGAGTATGGTAAAGTTCCTTAACCCCTATAAGCCTCAGTTTCCTCATCTGAAAAATGAAGCCAATACTATCTGTAGCACCAACATCGCAGAGTGGTTAGATGGGGGAAATATGAAAATTTATGCAGTGTTTTGAAAACTGTAAAGTGATCTATCAATGTCAATTATTGTCATTCTAGTCTTGGCTCTATCCTGGGCTTAAATTAGGTGAACTTAAGCAAGTATTTTCTCTTCTCTAGGTCTCAGTTTCCCCATGTATTAAATGGGGGGGTTGTACTATTAAAGCAGTATAAATTTGACAGAGACCCTGGCAGACTATAGAACCTGCATTAAGGTCCTCTGTAGGACAAGGGTAGTGCAGACTCAGGCTCTGACCCTGTTGGCCCCAATGTGTCACAAATACACATACCCTGATTGCAGGGGTTTCCTCCTTGAAGACATAAAATCTGTCCTCAGGATTGCTTAATCTGATACGGCTGCTTAGACTTTGCTTAGAAGAGCTTTTTAGTCTAACAGAAACACACTTAAGGCTTACCTTCAGGGGTGCCACTATGAAACAAATATGCTAAGACATATAGCCAGAATGCTGCAGTGATATAATGCTGAAAAAACATAGTAAATAATTGTGGAAGAGTAGTCAAAGAGCTATAGATTTTGAGGGAGGGTAATTTTTTGAATTTCATATTTGAAAAAAGAAAGGAGTGGGCAGGGGAGGGAAGGTTTATCACCTCTTCTGATTAGTAATTTTTAAAAATGGTTTCTTGAGGAGGTGGAATTCTAGGTATTGTGAGACTATTTGGGAGGAGAGAGAGCTGAGTCAGCTTGAGTGGGGTAGGGTGGTAAGAGCTTCCCTATTCTAGACACAGGGATAATCTAGGGGTACAGAAGGCTCAGGGCCAATTCAAGCCTTAAGGTAAACTAGAGAATATCTTAAAACCAGGACCCAAAAGTTGGGAGGGTAAGGAAATGGACCCAAATATTTGCACATAGCTGTTTGTTTATATTTTAGGTCTCATATTATTGTTAAGAGCTGAGAGCTCAGAGTGCCTTCATTGATTGGCCTGGGTATTTGAGCAAAGGGGCAGGGGTGCTTGTTCAGCCTCTCTACCTGCCCCAAGGAAGACTTTGAGAGTCTCAAAGGAGGAAAGGACCTTAGGTCTCATCTTATTCATGTAATAGGCTCCCTTGGGGTAGGCTATCAAGAAAGGAGTTGTCAGCAGAAAAGGTTTCAGCTTAGAAAAGAGTTCTCAGGCAAGCTATGGGAAAAAAAATAGATTGTGTTGAAGGCCAGGGAGAGACAGAAACCTGCTTAAGAATCAGAGAAAATGATCCTGGACCAAAATCCTCTGGGAAGTAGGGTTATTTGACCAGACCAAATGAGAGGTCTAAAATGCTCTAAATGTATGATGAAATGAGTAAGAACTTCATAATTTATCTGCCAAGGATTATCTCTCCTGCAAGGATTGAAGGGAAAACTAAAAACTTGATAAACCTAATGATTTAGCCAGGGAAAGGAAAAGTAGGGAGACAAAGAGAGAAAGACAAGAAAGGGTGAAAGAATTGATGAGATGGAAAGCATAGATGGCAGGTGACTTCAGAGGAGACAAAGAATCTCTGGAGTCCAAGAAAGGACATCTCTCTTCTCCCTTGAAATCATAGATTGAAACTAGGAAAAAAAAATTGAATTGTAAGGCATATTTTGGGTGAAAGTTAATCCCAAAACTCACATGTGTATATTTTCTGGTTTGATCCTCATAACAACCCTGGGAAGTAAGTAGAACACCACTTATTTATCTGCATTTTGCCAGATTAGGAAGCTGAGGCTCAGAAAGGCTAATTAACTTGACCATGAATCACCCAGCTAGCAAGTCTTCTGACTGGGCCACCTGTACCTTTCACTATATCCAACTGCCTTGAGATTAAGAAGTAAACCATGGGGAGAAGCATACAGGGGCAAAGAGAAGGCAGAAAGGGAACATTAGCAAATATTCAGAAAATGGTTTTTAGCTGTGTTATGACAGTCCATAATATGTTTTGCTATCAATATCTAACCTAGAAGGTGCCAAGAGATAAAGGAAGAGTTGTGTCTCAGGCCAGTGCTTTGAAAGGCTCCCAAACCTTAAGGTGGTGCCAATCAAGCCTGGGAACTGAGCTAAGGAGTCCATCATCTCCCAACCCTCCACCCCCAACACATGCACCACCCTCTCTTCCATTGGCTTCATTCCAGGTTAGCCACACCCTGACCAGAGCCAATAGATGGCCAGAAGCCTAAAGGGCAAGGCTTTGAGGAGAGGGATAAAAGGCAGAACTGAGACAGCTGAGGCATCACACTGCTTTTGACACATCTTTGTTTACAAGCAAACTCACAAACCTGTCAAAATGGTGCATCTGAGTAGTGACGAGAAGGGCCACATCACCTCCCTGTGGGGTAAGGTGAATATTGAACAGACTGGTGGTGAGGCTCTTGGGAGGTAAGTACCAGAGGCTATGAAGGAGGGGTGAAGGAGAAGGGCAGGTAATGGGGCTATGGCTGGTCATGGAACAGCATAAACTTCACCTCCTCCTTTCTTTCTCTTCCCCAAAGGCTGCTCATCGTCTACCCCTGGACCTCCAGGTTTTTTGACCATTTTGGTGACCTGTCCAACGCCAAGGCTGTCATGTCAAATCCTAAGGTCCTTGCCCATGGTGCTAAGGTGCTGGTTGCCTTTGGTGATGCCATCAATAACCTGGACCACCTGAAGACCACCTTTGCCAAGCTGAGTGAGCTCCACTGTGACAAATTGCATGTGGACCCTGAGAACTTCAGGGTAAGTTCTGGGGCCGCTCCAATAGGAGGATTGCCCCCACACAAAGCTCTAACTAGGGCAGGTGACAGAGGCTTTGCCTCATGGCATTGATATTTAAACAAGACATATTAAATATGTACAATTCCTTCTACCATGTAAAAGCAACTGAGTCCAGGGCTTAGTTTACAAGAGTAGTTAGTTAAATTTAGAAGCTACTGAAATGTTTTGTTAATTTTTCCTTAATTATTTCTCATATTAGTTTCATGTGATGAATTACAAGTTCACAGGATCACAGATTGAAAGCTAGAAAAGATTTCAGAAATCCTCTGCCTTTATTTTGCACTTGAGGAACCTGAAACTGAGACCTGCTAAATAGCATGTCTGGAGACACACAGACAGTGCATGAGCAATGTGCTATTTGAATCCATGCCCTCTGACTCCAAATCCGGGGCTCTTCCCAGTATGCCACACTGAGCCCTCATATTGGGCTATTGCCCTCCATATGCTGCTTCCTATGGACATCAAAATTGTTAGTCAGAGTTTTGCCCCCACAGGGTCCTGAAGGGTAAGTGGCTCAGGAGGAAGGGTTGGGGCAGAGTTCAGGAGGGGACAAATGGCCCAGTAAGTAGGGACTCCTCAAAGGCTTGTAGGAACATCTTGTGCTCCTATCTCTAGTTTTACTTAATTTCTTTCCTCTCTCTCTCTTATCCCCCCATACCCTTCTTTAATATACACTCTCTTTTTTTATCTCTCCTTTCTGTTTTGATCTCTCCTTCACTCTTTTTTATTCTAATATCTCTCCACATCCTGCCTCCCTACTCCCTCACCTTCCTTCCTTCCACCCTCTCTGTAGCCTTCTTTCCTATATGCCTTATATACTATCTTTTCTTTCTACTGTCATCCTTTTCAACCTCTCTCCCCTTCCTTCATTTCTCATTCACCCCTAATGAAATTCCTTTTCTTTTTTATATTTACTTTTCTATCACTTACCACTTTTCTCTTAGTTTTCCTCCTTTTCCTCTTTCTCCATCTCCCTCCCTACTTTGCCTTTCCCTTGCCAGTTCATTAGGTTTATCAGGTTTTTTAGTTTCCCCTTCAATCCTGCATCTCTCCCCTCTGGGGATCATGTAGGTCTCAAAGATTCCACTGATGTTTGCTAAAGGACACAGAAATAAAGTCAGGGATGGGAGGTGGGGAATGGGGTAAGGGGAGAATTTATGAAGAGAAAAGGATACTTCTATTTAATGAGAAATTAACTAATAAATGATGGAGAAATATCTGGAGAATAGTAGAAAGGAAGATCAGGACCTGGAGGACAGTGGGGGATGTGAGAATTCAGTGGGGCATTGTGAAGAAAAAGGACCATGCTCTACAATTGGAAACCTATTGGGTGAATATGACCCAGGAAACAAGGCTGGATATGGGGGTGAAGTGGAATACAAATGGATTGCCTAGGAAGTTTGGATAGATTCCTCTTTTCAAAGGTTCATTATGTCCCTCTGTCTATCTCTTCCACAGCTCCTGGGAAACATCATTGTGATCTGCCTGGCTGAGCACTTTGGCAAGGAATTCACCCTTGAGCATCAGGTTGCCTGGCAGAAACTGGTGGCTGGTGTGGCCAATGCCTTGGCACACAAGTACCACTAAGCCCCTGCCCATGTGGGGGCCTCCAGCCAGCTGAGTCCCCTGTGTTCCATGTAGTCCATCTTCTGCACATGGAATGAATGGGGCCTGGCCCTGTGAGCATAGCCCCTGACCAATAAACTGCATTCAGTCCAATGAGCTTCATGTAGTTTTCTTTCCTTTTCTATTTGCTTTGCATCTCATTTTGGTGGAGTGGGTAAATGGGGGAAGATGGAAAAGGAGAATTGGAGGGGAGAGAAAAGATACAGAAACATGGGGGGGGTCAGAAGAAGAACCAGAGGCCATGGGAGATGAAAAATTGGGGAAACTAAGGAGACAGGGACCTTAAGAGACAGGGCAAGAGACATCCATTTGCCTTGTACTCTTCATGTTCAAACTAATGGTTCCAGTTCACTGAAACTGGTATAGGGAGCAGGTTGTGAGAGTTCCTGATAGAAAATCCAAAGGGAGTCAATGCCAGATTTGTGGCCCTGTGGGCAGGACACCTCTCCCTCCCCTGAGTACCTCTCCACATTCTACCAAAGACAAAAGCCCTTACCCAGTAAATATTGCTGGAATGAGTAAGCCAGTCAAAGAATGAAAAGCTGAGGGTAGTATTTCCCACAATCCTTGTAACCTGGATTCCCAAAGTTTTCTGACCCTAAGAGACAGCTTTTGAAAAATCCCCTAGTGCCCTACTAGCCAATATCTCCACCTTCAATCCAGAGTGTCTGGAGTTCTCTCTCCTATCTCAGGAGATTTTATTCTGGGGCAGTAGGGGACAATAAGGAGGTGGAAATACCTCAGCTCTTATGGCCCATAGATAGTCACCACCACTAAGTAGTTTCTGGAAGCTTAGGTGTGTGGCTCAGTCGCTCTTGCTCTCTCCCTTGGTCTTTTCCACTGTCTCCTGAAGTATCTTACCCTCCAAAATTGGGTTAATCAGAGTGAGGAAAAGAGCCATATATTTCAAGAAGCCTGTCTCCCCAGTCCCTTGAATCGCTTCTCTTTTTTACTGCTTCCTCAGCTCAGAGAGACTGCTTCATGGCTTTTAGTCCCTAGGCGACTGAAAGGGGTGGGGATGCACAGTGGTGTCAGGTTGGGGATGTGGGGAAGGCATGCATCACAAGCAGCTCCCATCAGGTAAGCCTTAGAAATCTTGGAAGGTAGGGGAGGCTAGCTGGTGCAGTGGATAGAGCTCTGGCCTTGGAGTCTGGAAGACCTGAGTTCAAATCCACCCTCAGACACTTGACACTAGCTGTGTGATCTTGGGTAAGTCATTTAACCCTGATTGCCTCACCAAAAAGCAAAGAAAAAAAAAAGAAAAGAAGAAGTCTCAGAAGGTGATCTAGTCCTGCCCCTTTGGATTATGTTCATCTAGTGGGTTTAGTGGAGATAGCTGCTGAACTAAAGTGAGAGAACTATGAGAAAGCAGGATAGAAAACAAACTGGCAGCAAAAGGGGAACAGGAGGTATCCAGGAATAGGGGTGGTCAATAGTGTTACATGCTGCAGAGAGGTTAAGAAGTTTGTGATTAAGACCACTGGAGTTAGAAATTTAGAGCCATTGGTAACCTTATGTATAATAGGTTTAGTCAAGTGACAGAGTTGGAAGCTGGACAATTAAAGGAGGAGAAGTGAGTGGGAAACTAGGAAATGGAGGTAATATGTAGAGGTTACCTTTTCTAGGAGTTAGACTCTCTCTCTCTCTCTCTCTCTTTATATATACATGTATATGTATATATATATATATATATATATATACATATATATATATATAATATGATATATATATATATAATATGTATGTGTGTGTGTGTTTATATATATAAACATCTAACATTTCAGTTTCAATAAGTAATGGGTAAAATAAAGAGGTTTGTTGTTGGTGCTCTTGCTGTTTGTTTGACCCTGACTCTTCCTATCTCGCTTAGGCCCAAAGCGCAGCTGTCCCATGGAAGCTTTGACCTGCTCCTTTTCTGTCTTGGGCCTGTCCCCCCAAGCTGTTAGACAACCTAGTGTCAGCGGTTCATCATCTTGGCGCTGAACTTAGTGGGGACACATGATTGGCTTTAGTTTCTCTGTGGCTCAGAACTCCTGAGTTCAAGTGAAGCAGCATTCTCAGTCTCCCTAACAGTAGGGATTGCAGACATGGATCACTATGTCTACCTGGCAAGTAAAGCCTTCTTAAAGAGGAAGGCGGCTCAGGCACACTTATAGGTGGTAAGGAGGGAGCCCATGGTTAATGTGAGAGTGGCAAGGAGAAAAGGAGAAGACCAAGGAGGCAATTTGGGCGTAATCTCATATGATATCTTCAGTTTGGGGGAAAGTCGATTTAAAAGGCCTCCTATGAAGGAAATTCAGGATTAAAATTCAGGTGTGGTCAGTTCAGGAGGAAAGGGAAATTTTTAGAAATGAAGTTTTAAAGACACAAAGGAAATCTTTTCTATTGAGAAGGAAAAAAGAGTGGTCTGAATAGATAGATATGCATACTCAGAGAGTTTACTAGCATATTTTAAAAAATATATATGCATAACATGAAAGCAAAGACAAGTAATAGAAAAAGAAAGAAAAAAATAAAACAAAGCAAAAAAACCATGGCTTGGTCCTATAAGAATAGTGCCATTGAGATCTAAAGTTCAGAATGTACTGAGGGTGATGAGGAAAGCTAAGGATACTAACAACAACAACAACAATAATAGTGAGGTCTTTTGGGGAAAAGAGAAGAATGAGATAAAGGATAAGACTAAAAAAGCTCAGTGTGGAGAAGACTGATCATTGGCAATGCAGAGAAGAAAGAGCTACTTGATTCTAATTTTTTGTCTGACTTTTGGGTTGTGAAGGGAATAACTGAAATAGCTAATGGAGTTGATATTGACATTTAAGTAGGAAGAAAGTAAGAGAAGATCTAGCTGCTCATATTGAATTCAAGTCCACCTGAATCATATCTTCCAGTGTTGAAAAATCTAGAATGTAAGTATTGAACCATTATCAGTGATATTTCAAAGAAAACTGAAAACAGAAATACCAAAAGACTAGAGAATGGTAAATCCTGTTTTAACATTCACAGTGAATTTCACTTCAATTCCTGCTTGGGAAAAGTTTTATTATGGATAGTCAAAATAGAAAAATGGAAGGTTATTACAAAAAGCCAGCACAATTTCACCTAGAAAAGTTCATTGCAGTTTCCTCATTTCCTTTATTGGCAGGATCACTGAAGTCTTAGACCAGGGAAATGCTGTAGATATTGGTTACCTAGATTTGAGCTAGGGATTTAACAAAGAATTTCATGTGACTTGTGTGGAAAAAGTAGAGAAATGTCTATTGAACAAATAGATGAATTCAGAATGGGCTAAATGTTTGGATTCCAAGGGCAATCATAATGGTTTAAAGTCTCCTTGGGAGGAAAACTCCAGTAGAATGTCCCAGGAAGCAGTGCTTGGCCCTGTTTGTTTATAACTTGGTAGGGACAGTTAACTCAAAAGATGACAGAGTGTGGATCAAAAATGTTAAAAAAAATGTCTTGAGACTCTAGAGAACTGAGTTGAATCTAATGAGACAACATTTAGTAGAGATAAATTCATTTTTTTTGTTTTAGATTCAAATACCAGAGCTCAAATACAGAATAGAGAACAGAAAATAAACATGTCATGAACTTAAATATTGAAACTTAAGTACAAAGTAAGAAAAGGAAAAAAAAAAGCATGACTTGTGCACAGCAGAACATAAGAGAGGATTCAAAATACATAGCAATAAATTTTCATTTCAAGAAAGCCTCTTGAAATTATATGTTGTATTGAAAGCTGTCCATCTTTTCTTTGCTTCCTATAAGTTTTATTTTGTACTGTGCTATGCTTTTTACTTTGTTTTTTTCCCTCTTCCTCTCCCCTGCTCCCCACAGCTACAATTAAATATGGATATATTTATAGAGAGATATAGATATATACACACACATATACATATACACACATACATGCATATGTATCTATATAGACATATACTTTCCCTAACAAATTCTACTCCTGATCTTTGTTTTTATGTTTCTGCATATCTCTTATTTCCTATGCTTCCTGACTTTTCCACTTTTCTTCTACCCGCTACCTTGCCCTCCTTTTACTTAGCCTAACCCCCCTCCAAGGATCCCTCCCCTATCCTCCATTCCCACTGATCTAAGCACCCTTCCATAAACCCTTCCCCTCCCCTTTAGAGGTCCCTCCTTATCATCTTTCCCCTCCATATCCCCTTACCATTTTATTTGTTCTGAATTTAGAAGACTTTTATACTCTTCTAGGTAATATATGCATAGTTCCCTCTTAAAAGTTCCCAATAAAAGTAGGTTACCAGAATTACCAGCCCTCCTCCCTGATCTAATTCCTCTGTGTCCATTCTTTCTCTTGTACTTCATTTATTTAAAATAATCACTTTTTTTTAGCTGTTTCTAAATGGTTTTACTTTTTAAAGTCATATCATCTTTAGGTCTACCCCAATCTTTCTTACAAACTACCCAATTACTAAGGACATCTTAGACATATGTTTGACATTTTACTTATATAAAAGGTAAATGGTCTGTCATATTGAATCCCTTGTAATCAGTCTTTGGTATGTACCTTATGTTTCTCTTGATTCTTATATGTCAAATCTTCTATTAAGTTCAGGTTTTTTTTTTTAAACAACGTCCTGAAATTCTGACAGTTGTTCAAATGTCTATTTTTTTTTCATTCAGGATTATGCTTGCCTTTGCTTGGCATGATATTTTTGGCCAGAACTCCAGTTCTTTTGCTCTTCAATACATAGTGTTCTAAGACCTGTGGTCCTTTAGTGTCTCTGCTGCTAGGTCTTGTGTGATTCTAATTGTGGCACCATCATATTTAAATCACTTTTTCTTCCCCATTGCTCTTAATATTTTATCCTTGAGCTGGGGTTTTCAAAATTTGACTTCAATATTCCTATGAGTTTACCTCATAGGATCTTTGCTTTCAAGTGGTGATTGATGGAGTTTCTGTTTTAATTTCTATTTTCCCCACTTGTTCTAATGCTTCTGGACAATTTTCTTTAATTATTTCTTGTATTATCATATCAAGATTCTTTTTCTGATAATAGTTTTTCAGGTAGTCTGATTATTCTTATGTTTTCTCTTCTTGATCTGTTCTATAGGTAGTT